TTTGTCTTCTACATTCAAGATTCAATCTTCTATATGATCTAATCTACTTTTAATACCTTCAAGGGAAGTTTTAATTTCCTGTATCGCATTCTTTATCTCTAACAATTCCGTTTGATTCTTTTTAATGGTGTCTATTTCTTCTTCCAAATTGTGAAAGGGCTTCCTCATCTCCTGAAGCTCATTGTCTCTTTTCTCTTGCATCTCATTTAGTTTGGTCACTACAAACATTCTGAATTGTTTATCTGACATTTCTATGACTCCGTTGTGCCTTCTGTAGGTGGTGAGGAATTGACGTTTTCCCTTGCAGAAAAGACATTTTGTTGGTTGCTCATATTTCTGTGCCTCTGCAATGATTCTTAGTCATTTGGTAATCTATACATTCCTTCCTAAATTAATCAAGGTATCACTGAGCATTCAAAGGTGTGCAGGAGTAGGAAATTGGCAATCTCTCTTCTGCTCTGCCACCCTATTGCTCACCAGCATCCTTCACTGCTGTCATTGGTCCTGGATTACCCAAAGACCTTCCAGGTTCTAGAGAGCAGGTGTGCCTAAAACTGTGCTGCTGAGCTTCAACTCAGTACCAAAGAAGACATCCCCGGATGCTGGCCACACACTGTACTAAACACCCTCAGTTCAAGTGCTGGAATGTTCCATATTATCCTTGATAAAAATAGTGTAGTACAAAACTTTACATTCTTCACCACAATTGACACAAAAAAAGAAAGAAGCCTTTGTGGTTTAAAGTCCCTGAGAGCTAGACGTTGTCTACTACTTTAGCATAATTTAGTCCAATTTACTGACTCAAAACTGGGTATGGAAGTGGAACATGGATATAACAAAGACTTTAAAATGAATACATGGCATTAGTCTAGGTGCTAGATGGTGGACTATAAGAAAACTATCTAGTGCCCTCAACCACCTCACCACCTGCCAGCCCCCAAGAAAGCTATTCATAGAGCCCAAAGATATTAATATTTTCATGTGGGAAACCAATGACTTTCTTTCTAGTTTACAAATCATGAACAAGAAGAGTCACATGGAGAGCTGAAGGAGAGAATACATCCCTATTTTCTTCTATAAATAATACTTAGATATCCTAGATTTTTAACTCGAAGTTTTGACTAGAATGTTGGAGAATTTCCAGTGGAGCATGGAGAAGCATATTTTGGCTGTGAGAAAGACTATAAGCTAAACAGTTGTTATCCAGTGGGGCAAAATGTCATTAATTCTGTTTATCAAACATTTTTGGCTTTCTTCTCCTATGCACATGGTGAGAAGGTTCTTCTTAGACTCTTTGAAACTGGGATTGGACAAATAACTTGAAATGTGAATAGAAATGGTATCTGTCATTTCTAGGCAGGAAAGTGAAAAGCCAGAGTCTTTGGGAATCTTCCATTAGGAATTGTGAAAACACTATTCAGAGCCTACATTCCAATATGAGAACTTCAGGAAGCAAGAATAGGAAGTCAATTCTATCGGTGTTTCCTAATAAATGAACAGAGAATCTCTCAGAATTGTTACCTGAAAGACATGAAACTGGAGTACTTGCCCACTGATTTTTGTCCCCTATTGTTTTGGGGTTGCTCCTGGGGGCAATAACTCTTCTATATCTCTGGATTGTTCTTGCTCTTGTTACACACTCTTCCATGGTGTGAGAGAAGATTATGAGGAAAATAGAAATACAGCATTAATTTATGGTACAACTCTTATCAGTATAGGTAAGGTTGAGCTTTCACAGGTCAAACATCTGCAGCTGTGGCTGAAGTCAGGTGGGTCAAGAGGGTACCAGTAGCACCTACTAAAATCTAAAATAGAACAGTGCATATAGGATATTGGGCCCCTCATCCTTCTCACTACTTTATATACCTAGAAAGAACAGTTCCAGACTCAGGTGATCTGGGGGATTAATATTTATATATTTTCTTAGCAGCTACTCTGACTTGTTCTCCTACACTGGAAGTTAATTGGGACTGAGAAGTACTTTTTACACTAACAGCCCCAAGCACATCTTTCAATTTTTATATCTTATAATAGTCTTTTTGACCCCAACTTTTTAAATTTTTTTATTATTAACTTACTATTATCATTATCCTATTACATTTCTTTTTATTACTTATTTTAAAATGCAGTCTTATTTTAAATAATTTATATTAAACATTTTAGCAGGAGCTAATTAATCCTCCTAGCAATCTTATAATATAATACTGCTATTTTACTTACTTTGTTGATGGTTTAACTGAGACTCATGGAGATTAAATATATTCCTTATGTTCACTCAGCTAGATGGAGGCAGAACCAGGATTTGAACCCCAAACCTACACTATAGTCCATAATTTTATCACCCCTATACTCTCCCTGCATTGACCCTGATACTGCATCTGATATTAGACAGCATTCTATTTGACTAGATCTACCCTGCCCAATGTAAAGATACCTTTACATTTTTAACTTATTGCCCTATATATTAAGAAGTACTTTTCTCAGCACCAAGTTTATAATCTACTACTATTCACACCGATAATTTTAAAGACTCTTACATCTTGATGAGATACTTCATCCCAATATTCAAACCTTGTCACTATTTCATCAGAAATACATTAAAGTTTGTTAATAGTAATTTTAAGAATTTAAAGTTTATTGTGAATAAAGGCTTCAGGGTGGTATGGTGGTTAAGGCAGCAGGTGGTATGGTGGTTAAGGCATTAGATTCCCCCATGGTAGACTGAAGCTCGAGTCTGGACCTGATGGCTTAAAAGTCATACAGGGCAGTGTGCATGTGTGCCCCAAATCCCAGGAGGACAGTGGAGGAGAAGGGATTGAGGTATGGCATCCTCCCTGGAAGGTGACTTCTTACTTTCCCTTTCATTGTCTCTGTAACTCTGGTATGCCCCCATGCCTTATGGCAAAAATATCTTAAAAAATAATAAAATGAAAATAAAAATAAAGGTGTCAGCTCTGGCTCAGCAATAACTTGTGTATGTCTGTGGGCATTTTTAATGCTGTTCTTCAAATTTTCCTGTTTATCCACCTTCTGTGCATAAGGTAAGGGCAGCACTTCCTGCCCTTGCTCTGGCTGAGTGGATACAGATGATCAGCTCTGGTCAGTGAGCTGTGAACAAAAGCGGCATGTGTTACTTCTGGGCTAGAGCCTCTAATTACCTACTTAAGATCTTCTTGAACTCTCTTTCGGAATCACAAGGATTACCAAAGTTCCAGGTAATGATCCTCCATCAGCCTGGGTCTATCAGTGAGCAGAGCATGGGGTGGTCTTTCTGGCTGATATATGATGAATTTTTAGAGTGATTTAAAAAAAAAAAAAAAAACTTTTTTGTTTTAAACTACCAATACCAAGACATACCGTTACAGCAGCATAAATTATCCCATCTAGGTGGATTAACCCTCCCAGTAATCCTATAATGCAATAATATATTGCACTATTCTTGGACATATTGGGTTATTGTTGGACAAATCACTTTAACTCCTTAATCTTTAATTTCATCATCTTACTTAACAAATAAAAGGGAAAGATGAATTGACATTTAGTGAGCACTTCTTGTGGATGAGGTGTTTTGTTCGATGATCACATAAGGTATCAACCCTGGCACAAATATTCCTAAATCCAAATTACATTTTTCAACTCCACTGTTATAGTAATCCAAGCCACTTCTATCTCTTAGTAGCCTCTTACCTACTTCTTGTTAAAACTTCACCCTCTAGTCTCCCGCTCCAAAGATTCCTGAAATTTGAATAAGATCTAAATTCTTTATCACGGCCTGCAAGTATTTACATGACCTGGTTCTCGCCTGCCAATCTCGTCAGCGTCATCATTCATACTCTCCTGAACACTCATTAAGTTCCAATTACACTGGTCTTTCTGAAATATGTCAAGTTTGTTTCTGCCTCGAGAACTTTTGCATTTGCTCTTACTTTTGCTGGAAACACTTGGCCTTTTTATAACTGAATTTTCATCATTCAGACCTTAGCCCAAATGACAGCTCCTGAGATAAGTCTTCTCAGGCTGTCCTTGATAAATGCTTACTGATTATCTAAAGTCATACTATTGTTTCATTAATTTGTTCACATGTTTTTGGATTACCTACTGTAATAAAAACCTCCATGAGGGCAGAGAGCTTGTCTTGCTTGTTCACTGGTATTTCCACAAAGCCTAGAATATTGTCTGGCATATATAGTGAGTCCTCAAGAAGCATTTACTGAACACAGTAGGATTAATAACAGAGATAAGCAAATGAGGTTCCAAGAGTTTTACTGACTTTCCTAAATGTCCATGGATGTGCCTATTTCTGAGACTTTTTTGCTACAGTAAGGCACTGCCAAAAGAGACTGAAATGTCAGAGGGCAGGCAGGGCTACATGATGTGCAAACACCCTTTCAGTTTTGGATATTGTTGATGCAATCAAACGCAAGAAATCACATTGATCATGCTTTCCCCAGGGAGTTCTGAATTTCCAATGCAACAGATAACTTGAAAAATCTATTGATCTCACATTTTCATCATTCTGTACAGGTGACGAGGAGCTATAGGGATGTGGACTCTTTTTCATATGGTTTTGCAACTTTAAATTGTATTTTCACCCAGATTCCAGTGACTTTGCAACCTGCATTGCTCACACTGCTCACGCCTTATTTAACTTACAATATCACTGTTTGTGTAAGCTGTTTTCCTAGCTCTCTCTAGTTCAGAGAAACGTCTCCCCCTCCTCCCCTACGCCCTGCAAAGCCAGCAAACCGACCCAGCTGTCCTCTCTTACTGAGAAGCAGGACACACACATTCATTGGCTCACAGGCTGTCAAGGGGAGGGGCTTCTGTCTCAGGGGCTCTTCAAATGGGATCCGCGGTCTGAGCAGCTCAACCTGGAAGCTGAAGCACTCACTCTCTCTGCCTTCTTCACTGAACCTACAAGTTCCTGACTGCTTTTTCTTTCCTTTCTGGCTCAGCTTGGGACAGAGCTTACTCCTGGAAGGCTCAGGTCTTGGATTTTAATGGCAGTGATGGAAAAACTTGGGAATGCTTCCTGGATCCAACAGCAAGACCTGGATGATCCATTCAAGAAATACCTGAACAGCACTGAGGACTACCTGGCCTTCCTCTGCGGGCCTCGGCGCAGCCATCTCTCCCTCCCTGTGTCTGTCGTGTATGCACTGATTTTCGTGGTAGGGGTCGTTGGCAATCTCCTGGTGTGTTTGGTGATTCTGCGGCACCAGAGTATGAAAACACCCACCAACTACTACCTCCTCAGCTTAGCAGTCTCTGACCTCTTGGTCCTGATTCTTGGAATGCCCCTGGAAGTCTATGAGATGTGGCACAACTACCCCTTCCTCTTTGGGCCCCTGGGCTGCTACTTCAAGACCTCCCTCTTTGAGACTGTGTGTTTCGCCTCCATCCTTAGTGTCACCACGGTCAGCGTGGAACGCTACGTGGCCATCCTCCACCCGTTCCGTGCCAAACTGGAAAGTACCCGGCGGCGGGCACTCAGGATCCTGGGCATCGTCTGGTGCTTCTCCGTTCTCTTCTCTCTGCCCAACACCAGCATCCACGGCATCAAGTTCCACTACTTCCCCAATGGGTCCCTGGTCCCAGGGTCGGCCACCTGTACGGTGGTCAAGCCCATGTGGGTCTACAATTTCATCATCCAGATCACCTCCTTCCTCTTCTACGTCCTCCCCATGATTGTCATCAGTGTCCTCTACTACCTCATGGGGCTCAGAGTGAGTAGCAAGCTGGTTGGCTGGGGCCATCCCTTCTTTTTTCCACTGGCTCCAAGTTCAGAAAAAAAAAAAAAAAAAAAAAAAAACTTGATATTGGAGAAACCGAAATTGGAAGGAAACAGAAAAATAGCATAGAAAATTGAGAAGTTAAAGGACTTGCCTTCAATTAGACAAAGAGCAACCACAACCATATATCATTTCCGTTAATTCCTCTTCTGTTAATGTTCCCTCTGTACTTGTGGTTCTCATAGCTCTGTGGTTCTAAGAATCACCAACATGCACACCCCAACTCCAGGAAAAATCTGATTCAGTAGGACTGAGGTGGAGTCTCATTTTAAATAAGCACATTAGGTGCTCTGGGGTTACGGGGACACACCCTGAGAGGCTTTCTCCCCTGCTGTCCCTTTCCTACCCCCCATTCATGGCCCGCATTGAAATTTTTCTCTGTGTTAACTTGGTCTGGAAATAACACCGACTGTCTCTGCCTATTTTATAATCTAAAAAAGATATATACTTTTGAAGTCAGACTTTTTCTTCTGGTTGTTTGACCTTTGGTTGAAATGTCAGGATAAAATTTTACTTGTTTATTTTTTAAAAGTGACGTGAGGTGACAGCAAAGTGGACTTCTTTTGAACAGATGGAGATTGAGGAGTGGGGAGGTACACAGAACACACGGGACAGAGTACAAGCGAGTGTGAATATGAGACCCCTGAGACTAAGACAAAATAATTACTTGTTTTGCCACATATACTTTGAGGTTTTTTTTCCCCTATACACATGGTGGTAAACTGACATATTTTTCTTTTTTTTTTTGGGGGGGGTCTACATTAGCTGAGAGAAACTACTTTTGATAAGGGTAGGAGTGAGTTTATATAGTTCCTCTCCTGATATATTCTGCACCCAAATTCTTAAAGATGGAAAGTCTCGACTGTGACGGTTTTACACCCATGTAAGGAAGTAGCTTAGTAGTAAAGTAAACAGGAGACCACTTAGACACCCAGAACCACAGCTAATACATAATATGCCTTTAGACAAGTCACGTAATTCTCCTGAAATTAGTTTTCTCATTTATAAAATGGAAAGGTTGCATTGACTCATGTTTAAGCCTCCTTTTATTTCTAACTGCCCGTGATTCCTTTAAAAAAAAAAAGAATAAAAACCTCACGAAACTGTGAGAGGCAGTGATGTGAGTTATAGATGAAAGGAGAACAAAGCAGAGCGTATGCATACATCACGTGGTCGGAGATGGCCCTGACACTATATATCATGTGACAACTAATAGACTCATCTCTGTCCATCTCCAAGGAAGGTAATTGTCAGAAATGAGTGCCCCGCAGGTGGTTATTTTACATACCTATTGTCCATAAGGTGAATGGCAAGATCTAAGTAGGAAGAACAAATCCTCTAAGTGTCACAGATGTGTGGGCACGGGAATAAATCTAACTAGAGATCTGTGCTAGTCTTCTCCCGGCGGGCTGGCCTCTGTATTTCCAGAGTCTAGCTGACAGCCTTGTCTTTAGAATGTCCTGTGCATGGACTAGCCAGCAGCATGGTGATTAAGGCAGCTAGATCTCATGGCTGACTTCATGGTTTGAGTCCCAGATTTGGCAGCTTGAGAAATGGGCTTGGTATATGAGTGTTCTGTATCCAAAATCCCAAGAGGAGAATGAAGGATTGCAACATAGACATTCCCCCCTAGGGAAGGACTTTCTCACCTTCCCTCTGTCTTTCTCTAGTGAGCACAGGTACCCTATAGCCAAACACAAACAAACAAATAAAAAGGCTATGCATCTCACTGAGGGGTAAATACATCTAACATCAACACAATTCCAAATACTGTTAAGTCCTATGAGAAATCCCCCCCACCAATAACCTACTGTCTCATCCAATGCCAAACAATTATTAATCTTGGGTCGATTTTCAGGTTGATACAACTTTGAGTAGGAAACACTCAAAGCATGTCCTTGCCTAACTTGTTATTTTGAGTTTCATTTTGATTTATTGTCATGAATCCACAGCCACCTTGTATCAGGAACTAAGTGACAGCTCAGACAACAGTTAAAATCCACTCTGGTTTCCTTTGTGTGTCTAGAACAACTTATGATATCTTGTTCTTAGGAAGAATAAGTTACTACCAGGATACTAGATGACCACGAAAAAAGGAATTGAGAGAAACTATTTTTGATAAGGGTAGGAGTGAGTTTATATAGTTCCTCTCCTGATATATTCTGCACCCAAATTCTTAAAGATGGAAAGTCTCGACTGTGACGGTTTTACACCCATGTAAGGAAGTAGCTTAGTAGTAAAGTAAACAGGAGACCACTTAGACACCCAGAACCACAGCTAATACATAATATGCCTTTAGACAAGTCACGTAATTCTCCTGAAATTAGTTTTCTCATTTATAAAATGGAAAGGTTGCATTGACTCATGTTTAAGCCTCCTTTTATTTCTAACTGCCCGTGATTCCTTTAAAAAAAAAAAGAATAAAAACCTCACGAAACTGTGAGAGGCAGTGATGTGAGTTATAGATGAAAGGAGAACAAAGCAGAGCGTATGCATACATCACGTGGTCGGAGATGGCCCTGACACTATATATCATGTGACAACTAATAGACTCATCTCTGTCCATCTCCAAGGAAGGTAATTGTCAGAAATGAGTGCCCCGCAGGTGGTTATTTTACATACCTATTGTCCATAAGGTGAATGGCAAGATCTAAGTAGGAAGAACAAATCCTCTAAGTGTCACAGATGTGTGGGCACGGGAATAAATCTAACTAGAGATCTGTGCTAGTCTTCTCCCGGCGGGCTGGCCTCTGTATTTCCAGAGTCTAGCTGACAGCCTTGTCTTTAGAATGTCCTGTGCATGGACTAGCCAGCAGCATGGTGATTAAGGCAGCTAGATCTCATGGCTGACTTCATGGTTTGAGTCCCAGATTTGGCAGCTTGAGAAATGGGCTTGGTATATGAGTGTTCTGTATCCAAAATCCCAAGAGGAGAATGAAGGATTGCAACATAGACATTCCCCCCTAGGGAAGGACTTTCTCACCTTCCCTCTGTCTTTCTCTAGTGAGCACAGGTACCCTATAGCCAAACACAAACAAACAAATAAAAAGGCTATGCATCTCACTGAGGGGTAAATACATCTAACATCAACACAATTCCAAATACTGTTAAGTCCTATGAGAAATTCCCCCCACCAATAACCTACTGTCTCATCCAATGCCAAACAATTATTAATCTTGGGTCGATTTTCAGGTTGATACAACTTTGAGTAGGAAACACTCAAAGCATGTCCTTGCCTAACTTGTTATTTTGAGTTTCATTTTGATTTATTGTCATGAATCCACAGCCACCTTGTATCAGGAACTAAGTGACAGCTCAGACAACAGTTAAAATCCACTCTGGTTTCCTTTGTGTGTCTAGAACAACTTATGATATCTTGTTCTTAGGAAGAATAAGTTACTACCAGGATACTAGATGACCACGAAAAAAGGAATTATCTGCTCAGAAATCACTCTTAGAAGAACTTTAAGATCCCAAGACCAGAAGTGAAGAGTAGTTCTTATTCTGTTATTTTGACCTCAGGACCTTTGTGCATGCTGTCCATTGTGCCTGAAATGGTCTTACTATCCACCAAAATAATCCCTTTGCCTTTTTTTCATTTACCCTTTATGTCATACTTCAATCAGAGAACTCTCCCAGAGCTCCTTGCTACACCTGGTCCCATATAGATACACATATCTCCTAGAGGTCTTCCTTCATGACAATTTATAATTCTCTACTTGTAGCTTGCTTAATTAATTTCTTTTTCTCCAATTAGACCATAAACTCAATGAATGAATGAGGCTAAATTACTTCCTTCAGTACAGAGTTTCAGCATCTCTACCTTCAAAACAAAAGACTTGAAAACACTGTCTCAAAGAACCTTTATTATGTAAGATACTTAAAGAGATCCAAGCAATCCTAATGATTATTAAGTTACTGACTCTCTTAGACTATCTAAAGATGTGTGACTCAAGGATCTACTGTCTTCAGAGGGCAGCAAACTCAAGACTAATGAAATCACAGGAACAAGAAAATGGAGGAAAGATTATATACATTATATATATATATATATATACACACACACACACACACACACACACACACATGGTGTTTCGATTTAAGTATATATATATATTCTTTCAAAGCTAAACATTCAGTACTCTTTCATCCTTCCAGAATAGAGTCTCCATTGAGCAACTCTCCAAGGAATAAACACTACAGAGATGGAAAACAGACAATCCCTGGGCAAGTTCCTCCCCATCTAGGAGGACTTTCTAGTGAAACTCTGATCTCCTGCATGCAGTATTAAGTCTTGAGTTGATTAGGATGACTATTCAAATTGCAGCAGAATTCAACCATGTTAAATACAGAATTACACTGATTTCTTTTTTAGTAAATATGTATTCAAAGATTTTAGAGATATTTACACAAAATCTATCATTGTATCTCAGTATGTTAAAACCACGTATCCAGAAACTATATAACTGAACAGCTGGTGGAATGATTTTAATCAGCATAAACAACTGATCATATATATAATATATAAACATGAATGAGAATAAACTCCATGAGCCTTCTCTCCTCTTTGATATTACCTACCTGAAGCGATAGTGTAGAAAGATTTCAAAACTTTCTATATAGCAACTATAATTTCCTGCTCCTCTTTTTATAACCTGAGTTTTAAAATAAACAAGCAAAAAATTTGGATGTGGGGCGAATAATTAAGAGCAGAGAGGCATGGTCACGACTGCACTATGGCAAAAACTACTGGAGCCTGAAGGATTGCGGCATCTCTCTCGCTCTGTCTAGTAGATTTACTTTGCTAAACTTTCAAAGGAAAAATTATTCATTAATAGAGTAGCATTTAGAATGGGCCATAGAGGCTAGCAGGTGGCATAGTGGTTAAGGTGCTGGACTGACACATGGCCAACCACTGTTAGAGTCCTAGACACAGATGCTTCAAACACACCAGGCATGAGTGTGTGCATGTCCAAAATCCTGAGAGGAGAATGGAGGAAAAGGTATTAGGGCATGGCCATCTCCCCTGGAGGGTGATTTCTCACTTTCTCTCTCTCTGTCTCTGTGTCTCCAATGAGAAGAAAAAAAAGATATATACATATATAGATATTTCAGATATAGATATTATATATATGTAAATAATACATATATGTGTTTTACAAACACACACATATACCTAGGCTAGACAACTTGTCTTGGATCTATTTTACTATGTCAACCACTTCTAACTCTGCTGAAACAATGCACAGCACGCATAGTTTTTTTGCTCTTCCTCCAGGGAGCTAGTTGTGTCATTATAACGAAAGGAAGCTGCAAAGTAAGCAATAATGGGTTGACACCTGACTCTTTTCAGTTCTTTCCAATGACACTTGTACCGGACACCTGTTCATAAAAGAATTGTGTGAACTCTGCTTGATATTTGATTTCAGGAAATTATTCCTCAGGGTAGAGAAATTACCACTGAGAGTTGTTTTACCCAACCAAAGAAGCAACTAATAGATCTTAATATTCTTTCATTGTTTTTAATTATGGGCTGATGCCAATAATGGAATAACTATATCTTGTAATAACTATATATTAAAAACAGTATAAAATAAGTAGGACCTTGAGTAGGTTTAATTAAAGATGAGTCAGTAAAGTCCATAGCTTGATGCATTACTCCACCCTGGAACATGTTATTCTTTTCAGTGCATCTGACTGCTGCTTTGTATCAGCATGGGCACTGCTAGTGGGTGAGTGGAGAATTTCTAGAAAAGACTCAATAATCTGCATGAATTATCACAGTTAAAAATAAAAACTCTGGTTCCAAAAAAAGTAGGCTTTTCTGTTTTTAAAGTAGACTTGTACTAATAATCAGAATTGCAATGAAATCAGCAATGTATAACTTGCTGAATATGCCATGCCAAACACCGAAATAAGTACTCTACCTGCATTAGTTTGTTTTACTATTATATTAAGGATGTATTCTAACCTTAAGCTGCCTTTCCTCTATTTAAAAATTACTGAAAAATAATTTTATTTCTTTTCAAGTTCTAGATAACTCTGAAGGGCAAATCTCACAGGACCTTTAATCTGTTACCTTATGAAGACATAGGTACATGAGAAGAGCACCAGTATATTCAGATGGCCAAGTTTATTAATCGTCCAAATGGATACTTCAGGGCCTGTGTGATCCTGAGAACTACTTGGCCTGAAGGATCTTAAATAGTTAATAGGGCAACAGAAAATGTGTTTGTTCAACATTAGAGACAACTTCTTTTTTATTTTTCTTAAAGATTTATTTACTTTTATTTGCTATTGCTATTTTCTTTATAGATTTCTATTTATTTTACATTTAGTCACATCTTTACAATGTACATTTCTTTTTCCAGCACAAACACTATGCATGTCAGTCAAGCCAAAGATATTACTCTAGAACTTATCAGCAAATAGCTTCTCATTTTTTTGTCAACTGATTATATTTTTACTTTTTTTCCCCTTTCCCTTCTCTGTCTTCCATACTAAACTCTTTTCCACATTTTACTGAATTACAAAATACCTTAAACTAAAAATATGGACAAAGCTAGAATCTAGTTACAAGTGCACTATAATTTTCTTCTGAAACTTTTTTTTAATTAATTTAATTCATTTGCATTCATTTCCTGAGCATCATCACAGCATACAATATGTGATTTCCCATCCAGACAACTTTTAATGATCAATTCTTCAAAGTCTTATTTGATTTTAAATGACTTCTTCTGGGCCAGATGGTGGCACAACAGTAAAATGTGATATAATGTTCTACAAGGAAATCCCACATGGGAGAGTTCTCAGTTCAAGTCTGGAGACCTCCCTGAGTGGGGGAGCAAATGCTTGCCTGTGACCTGGAGCCGGCTTATGGCTGGGGGTGGATCACAGCATCAAGACCCTGTTGGGAATGCTCTCTCTCTATGTGCCTTTCTCCCTTTCCCTGTCTCTCTCACTCGAAGAATAAATAAATAAACTTTTAAAAATAACTTACTTTATGTAATCCCTCAGAGTGCCATCTAGCCCAGGGAGCTCACTAATTAGGGAAATTTCTTCCCTTGCTGCACATAATCATACCAGTTTACTTCTTACTTCAGATTGGAATCTGTCTCCTTATAACTCTATGGATTTATCCTTATATACCCCTGAGACTATACAGAATAAGCAGAATTTTCCTTCTACCTCATGACATCAATTGCTCAGGACTTTTCACACTGTCAGTGAGAGAACTCCCACCTAGTCTGACCAAACATGGAGAGGAGCTTAGACATAAAACTTCAGAAATACCATGGGCTCTTGAGACGATTAATCCAGTAAAACTCACGATGTCACCAAGGACCAAGTTTGACTTGTGTCCCTGCTTATTCTCTCTACGGTGTTGGCTTCAACTACAAACACCACATAGCAGCCCCTTAGTGACTCTAAGCATTTCCTTCTTGATTGGAAGGAAAAAAAAAAAAAAAGAAAGAAAGAGAAAAGAAAGTCTATTATAATTCCAGACTTCACATGCAAAGAAGGACTCCACCTAGCAGACTCAGTAAAAAAGAAATAAAACTTCTATTCCCTAAATATGAGCAAATATCTGAACTTTTATTAGCTTTAATTATCTACAGACTGTGGCTGGAGGATAGGACAAGCTGATTGGCTAAGTTATTTAGGGGTCATACCTAGAGCTAGAGTTGGGGGTCATTCCAATCCAAATTAATGACTGATAATGGGGAGGCAATAGATTCCTTAAGGTAAAATCAAGTAAGAGAGAGGAAATAAATTCCAGAGACTCAGTGCCAAATAAATACTGTGCTATCTTCTAGATACTGGATGATAGGTGGTCAAGAGTCCTTAAAGCTTCCCTTACATGGCTGAAATCCTCACAAATCAAAAAGCACGAAGAGAACAAAGTTCCAATACTAGATGAATGATGTAGATCCCAATACCCTAGGAATTTAGAGGAAAGAGAGGACAATAGGTTGAAGTGGCCTCCAAAGTTTCTGTGAATAGGTGAGTCTTGAACTGAGCAAGAAAGATTATATATACAGATAATGTAGATATCTAAAGTTCTCAAGCATTATATCAAAAAGCACCACGCTGGGACCAGCAGTTAGCGTAATGGCTATATCACTGGACTCCCATGTAGTCAACTGCGGCTCAAGTCCCGGATCTGGTGGCTTAAACTCACACCAGGCATGTGTGTGTGCGTGCCCAAGATCCTGAGAGGAGAATGGAGAAGGGATTGTGGCATGGTCATCCCCCTAAGGGGTGATTTCTCACTTTCTGTCTCTCTGTCTCTCTCTGTCTGGCGAGCACACGCCCTATAGCAAAAACCTCTCCAAAAAAAAAAAAAAAAAAAGCACTGCACTGTCAAACTAGGATGACTATATTTTCACATCTAATTTCAGAAACACATGCACTTTTATCAGCAATATTAGTAAAATAGTATTTCCCAAATTGTGCTTGACAAGGTGGTACAAGATAATCCTCTGAAAAAGGTTGGTATAGGATACTGTTTTGACAAAGAAACACTATTCTCCTTTTGGCTGGGATAGATGTGAGAGATGTGAGTGTAGAAGGTAGAGGGAGAAAAAAAGGCAACCATACCCCTTGATTCATAATGCTCTCTAGCATATTAAAGGTTCTGAGAAGACCCATAATAAAGACTATAACCTTCTCAATGAAGGAGTAATATTTTTAACTGCCTACCCACCATATGGTATAGCGATTTTATGTTAGTAGATATCTAATAATTAGTGAATTCATTTAAAATTTTTATCTAACTTTTTATTTTACATTTTTCATGGTAAACCCATAAATGTGTTACATACCTAGGGCTATAGTGAATTTCATTTGAAAAGTGGTACACACAACTGGAATATACTATCTATCCTGTTTGTTGGGTGACCTGGGTCCAACTTCATCTCCAACTCCTGTTAAACATTTGACATATTCTTACATTTCTCCTATGTCCCAGTTTTTTGTCCTCCAAATGAATGTAGGAGTTACACTTTTGAGATATTAGTGAGAAGAAAAAATGCTTTCCTTTCTTACTGTTTCTACCTCCCTTTCAGCTAAAAAAGGATAAATCTTTTGAGCCAGAAGAAATGATTGCAAATATTCAAAGACCCTCCAGAAAATCAGTCACCAAGATGCTGTGTAAGTCTTCCATTTTGTTTTTGTTCGTTTTATTTTGTATGTAGTAACGAAGGAGTTGCATTTAGTGCTGACAAAGTGCTGTTGGGTCAGGTTCAAAAATATCTTGAAACATAGTATCTCCAACAACATACCACAAACAGTATTTGTGAAGGTAGATTATGATTATAGAGCACAGAGCGAGGAGAAAAATAATGAAGACACTATCTGATAGTCTAGACAGACACAAAGTTGTCTAGGCTCACTCAACCTTCTAAGACTTACCTGTTTTGTTTAATTTTTAGTTTTAAATTCTCAAAACAACAGGTAAAATTACATCCTTTTCAGTACATTCAGTGTGGTGGTTAGTAAATCTTACTCTCTGAGGCTTTGAGCATCACTTATCCCCCTCTGTAAAGTAAGCAGGTGGCTTTTAGCCTCTTTGTTTTGTAGAGTTCTTTAAAAATATGAAAGCTATGCACTCTCCACCCAGAAAATGCGCACATTCACATACACAAACATTTTACAATCCATTTCAGAAGATCATAGACTCCCTGATGTTTACCCACAAACTTCATGGGATTTTTTTCTTTTAAGAATGATTTGGGGCCGGGAACCAGCAGTTAGCGTAATGGCTATGTCGCTGGACTCCCCCGTAGTCGAC